ATTGATCAGATTAAGACTGTAAAATTGAATATGACAAATTTGTTCAGAACGCTATCTAGTAGGACAGCTTCTACCAGCACACTTCGTGTAAATAATAAAGAAGAAGTTATTATCAATAATATCAAAAAACAAATCCAAAATTGGAACATCCCAAAAGTTCTTATAACGGGTGTTTATAAAAAAGGGGCTTTTGATTTTAAAAGTAGCTTCTCAATTAAAACTATTGAGAAAACTATTTCTGTCATGGAAACTCAAGATAGTTTCCAATTCCTATCCTCAAGGATGGTTAAAGAACATAAAAGAAAAGATTTTAACTATTTGCATATTGGCCTAGTCCAGATAGCTATTAAACCCTTAACCAGGACAGGGTTAAACAACTCTGTTTTGCTTTCCTTAAGGGATAACAGACATAGAATGTTCACCAATTCTTTATTAGGACTCGTCGAATCAACTCTTTGCAATGGTCCTATATATTTTAATTGCTTTCCGAATTTTCCGGTGGTCTTATCTGATTCAAATCTTTTGAAGGTTTTAACTTTGAATCTAAAAACTCAAGGTTTTGATATGGATCCTGAATCTCAAAACTTAGTTTTTGTTTATAGAATCTGTTATATATTTTTCCATATATATATATATATATATATGGAAAAAAAATTTATATGGGTGAGGTCCTAAATAATCAAATTATTGAACACCTCAAAAAAATCACTAGAAGAGGTTGTGTCAATGCCCAAAAAAGCCGCAAATTGGTCATCTTGACCTCAAAATGTACGAAACATGAGAAAAAATGGATTTCAAATTGATCATCTCTACCTCAAGATGTATGAATATGAGAAAAAATGGATTTCAAGTCTTGGAAATAGTTCATCTTGTAATGGATTTTCTGGACTGTCAATTTTCAAATGTTCATAGAGCTACTCAATCTACTATGTCTTTTAAGTTTTAAATTTTATAATTAGAGATGAAAATAAATTTTTAGACCATCACAAAGATTTCCAGTATTGAGACAACATCTTTCGACACTATTTGAAGGTGGGCCTTACTTTGATTGTTTAGGGCCTCAGTCTTATACAAATCACACCCTGTATGGATGTATATACATATGCATGCATGCATGCATGTATGTGTGTATGTATCAAAATGCCTAAATTCTTTCAGAGTTCGGACAAAACTTATATTCAATTTAGACATGGCTCGCATAAGTGAATTTGGGGTCTTTCGCCTCTTACATGCTAGGTTGGGTATCATATGATCAAGGTGGGCATGATAGGATCTGCATATTGTAACTTTCTTCTCTCAACATGACCCCTTAAGTAAGATTCATGAATCCTACAAAACAGGTGTCTCCTTTAAATTTCGCTGCCATATTCCCTCTCTCCAATTGTCTTTTGATACAACTAGTTTCTTATTTCAAAAATCAAGAGAAGAACTAGAATTCTTCTTAGGGCTTCCTACATCGTGAAATCTTCGAATTGCTTGGTTTTATGCTGTGCAGTAATGGCCTTCATAGAAGAGGATACTTAAAATTTTAGGTTTGTCATTTTCTGATATTTTCTTTTATGTTCGCGTCTAGCTTTTTTTCATTGATGCGGATATTTTTGTTAATGCATGTATTTCTAGCTCATTTGTGCTTTGGTTGTGCCCATTCATTGCCATGGCCAAGGACTACTAAAAGAAGCTCCTTTGGATGTATGGAAGCCTCCACACCTTGCTCCGTATCTTTGCTTTTCTTTCTTATATACAAGGATCATGGTTGCCAAGTCACTTCCATGTGTATTGTGTAGCACAAATCTTGAACTTTGGTTCATTTTCAGTATCTCTAATCATTGTATGAGTTGTAATTTAAATTCAGAAGTTTCTCAAAGGTAATGGAGATGATGAACATATATGCATGGACTACTTGGAGCTCAAGTACTTATTATACTTTGGAATTCGAGTACCATGATCATCCCTAGGATTTTACTTGGAGCTCTCTTCGCGTTTGTTAGTTTATACTACCTCATGTGTTCTCTATGTTGTTCTTCAATTATAGCTGATCTTAGGCACACTAAATGGATCTGCTGCCCTTACAGTTAATATATATTGTGGGGCATTCCTCATCTAAACTGTGTCTAATCTCTTTCAACACATATTCTAATTATCAGTAACTTTTACATGATGAGAGTCCTTTATGAGGCTCCCAGTAATTACTAATGTCTCTGTCAAGGAAACCTTTAGTTTTACCTCAGAGTCGGGTTTTTATGGGCAGCAAATATGATTTGTTCTTGTTCAATTGTTCCACCTCATTCTCACAAGAACGTTATGGAATGCCGTCCTCTTATATTCACATTCATCCCTATTAATGATATGCATATTGTAGGTGATGATCTACAAAGAGATTCCAATTGTGAAAGCATTATCCAGAAACATGTTATTGAAAACTTGGGGGAATGCTTTTGAGGGATTAAGCTTCCCAAACCTTTTTTCTCGGCATCAGTAAACTTAGACCTGAACTGTGATGGTTTTTCTCATATCGCTTGCATGTCTGATCAGTATGGGTCAATAAATGTCTGCCTGTGTTGCAAACTGGATGTATACTTATTCTTATTCAACCATTGTTTATCAGGGAAAAAGGAAAGAACCTCACTTCAATCAGCTCCATAGTGCTAGATGGTCTAGAGCATGCAAACTTGTATGACCCCAGGTTCATGTTTAACAAGATGCTTATGGAGAAAATACTGATTGACACTAGTAAGACTAGAAATGTGCATCTTCTAGAATTCGCTAGAATTGTATACAATATGCTAACATGAAAAATATCTTGATCTCTTCTGTTTGTGAAGGGGTCAAAATATTGAAAGTGTATCTACTCATGTGCACTCAGTTCGACTATTGAACTTTAAAATATCTTATAATGGCCATTATTCTCTCATGATGTCATGTCACAAGAAAACCATTCTTTTACAATGTGGCGCTCATGGATTAAACACTTGACATTCAGATATTAAGTTTGATCACGGATGCTCTCCCAACTGAGTGAAGAATAGTCTTAAATTTTAGTAATGGGCATGAATCATTTGTCGAATATAACATGTAAGGGCTATTGGAACTGCAAATTCAAACAAGTATTCATTGTAACAAGTAGACTATTGCAGTGCATATATCCATTCTAACAATTGAAAGTAGGATTCAATTATATGAGACAGTACCTTTATGTGTTTTGTCGGTTATTAGAATTATATATGCATGAGTTGCTTATGTTTCTCTGGATTTTATTTATTTTTTACTCTCTTGGATATCTAGTACAGAGTAATTCATTTTTTCCTGCACATTTCGAAAACCAAGTGTGGGGCCTGCCTCAAATCTCTGGGATTCTGAAACCCTTGTTGTGTAATAGTTTGCAGCCTCAGGGTTCTTAGTTGTGCAGCTTCTGAGTCTGTATCAGACATCCCCTTCGTGGTTGTTGCATGCAAAATTTTGGGATTATTTCTGGAAACAAAGTCATCTTCCATATTCTCTCTGTTTATCTATGCCAGAGTGAACTTCATCTCATTCTTGAAATACTATGCGGCCTGGTTAACTTTTATGCTTCTGTACTGTCACTGTCATTTTTGTTTTTTTAGATAGATTACTGGTTTAAGTATAACATTTAATTTCAAATCACACAGAAACCCTATAGTAGCTGATATGTGGAGATAATGTACGTCTATTTAGAAAAACAGAAGGCCACTCTACCCAACATAGATGGAATACACACTTTGCCATTACCTCCCGCAAAACTTTGGAGAAAAGTAGCATGGCTGGGGCACATAGACCAAAAGCTTAGGTGTCTTTCATGGAAGTGGCACTTCTTGGCGATAAGCCCACCAATTCACATTCATGGAATCATCTTCAGTGTCTATTTAGTCATAATTGTAGAATTCTAACTTCTGATGTCTTATGTTCCTTGCTTTACCTATTTAACCATAAGTGTGTATTTAGTCATAATCAACTTCAAGATTGACATTATGGGGAATTATTAATTTCTTCATGTTTTTTCTGAGTGATGGAAAAGGCAATAGAATCTAAACCCAAGAGCATCGGGAGGAGAAATGAACTGTTGAATATTTAAGTGTTTTTCCCTTTTTCCCTTTTACTACTTATATGCAGTGACTTCTCAGGCAGTTAGTTCTTGTTTTTCTGGTAGAGTAGTAGTTGAGCCCTAAACCAAGGTGTATCCAAAATGAACTTATTCTATTAGGCATACCATGATGCAATCGAAAGAGAGTTCACTTCCAAATTTTCTGATTGTTTCCGTGGTTTATTTATCATTTTGCCATCTTGTGTTTAAAACAATTCTAATTTCTCGTGTTTACCTTTTTATGGTCTTCAGTTTGCCACTTGTGTGTGGATTTGTCCGTTCACTTGGGAATTCTAGCAGCTAATAAAAACTGTGAAATAATAAGCCAATGCAATACAATATTAAATAAGTAAGATATTGAAAAAATATCATGTAATAAACAAACTAAGGGCTGAGAACAATTAATGCATAGAGTAGTTGAATTAATTGTAAAAGAATGACATAGTGCCCTATAAAAGCTATGCAAGAATCATGCATTTGGAGAGAAATTCCATTTTCTCAAAAAGAAAATATCAACTTCGAAAGTTTCTCTTTTGTTAATTGTAAAGCATAAGAAGAGGAAAAATGTTTCGGGTCATTCTTACTTTTTACTTGAAGGAATGCTTCGATTAAAATGAGGTGCACTATGCTATCATTGAAATGATGGGGCGAAACAAGGGTACCGACTGGAACAAGATATAAAAATGGTTCTACCTCTCTGTCATTACCCTCCATCCTGTTGTTGGATGATGATGATCCCAATTGGCTATGATTCTTAGTAGTCCATTATATTGTTTGTGATTTACTTGAATATAATTGTTTTGGGTATAAAGAAGTTTTATATTATTTCCAAATAGAGATGCTATGATTGATATAACATGATCGGCTATTTACTATGATCTTAATTGTGATTTCTGAACAGTTCATGGTTTAGAGTATGGGTTTGGAGCCCATGACTTCCCGACCAGTGGAGTGTTTGAGGTAGAACCTCGAAATTGCCCTGGTTTTGTATACAGGTGCTCCATATTGTTAGGTAGTATAGACATGACCCCCACTGATTTGAGAGAATTTATGGAAAATATGGCCCGAAAATATCATGGAGACACCTACCATCTCATTTCCAAGAATTGCAACCATTTCACAGATGATGTTTGCTTGAGATTAGCAGGGAAGCCTATACCCGGGTGGGTGAATCGCCTTGCTAGATTAGGTATGCTCTCTCTCTCTCTCTCTCTCTATATATATATATATATATATATATATATATCTGAATCGCAAATGTTATTTCAGGTTCATTGTGCAGCTGTTTATTGCCTGAAAGCCTCCAAACATCTACTGTGAGACACATGCCAGAGTACCATGGTTGTTCAGGTAGTGGAGGAGCCACCTTAGTTTCTTGCTTCGATCTTGACACCATTTCTTTATTCTTGAAACTCAATGCGGAGTATGCATGTTTTCTTTCATGTGTTTGTTTAAAGGTCTAGATGTTCTTGTTTGTGTCCATGATTGTATTCATCTTTGTAGATACAATTATGCATGCATAACCGTAACTCCCTTGCTCAATTTTTTCTGTTATACCTTTTTGTGTGTCTTGGTGCATGAACACTCACACACACTCTCTTTCTCTCAAAACTTGTTTCCTTCTATTACTTCAACCATTATACACACACATACACACTCCATCTCTCGGTGCTTTTCATTTTTTATGAGATTTACATGCTTGAACCGGTGCATGACAATGAGTTCTCTCTCTCTCTCTCTCTCAACTTTGCATTTCTGAATATCAGATGATGGATCCGAGTCACAGTCCACCTCAGCTATGCACGATCAAGTGGAAATCGATGAGAGAGACCAAGACAAGCATCTCCTGCCAATTTCAAATGGTGAGGTGTGCTTTATCAAATGATGATTGCATTGCGTGTGTATTTTGAATGGTTAGACATAAATTTTTAAGGTGAGAGAAAGAGGCTTGATTTGCGAGAGAGAGGTCTTATTCAATTGTAGTTAAACTATCAGATTATTGCTTGGTTCAATGTTCATTGTTGTTGTTGTCTTTGTAACATTTGATTTGTTTGATCTTGAATGACATTTCATTTACAATGTTAAAATGTAAAACATGAAACAAAAGACAATAATTGAAGACATTATATGCTTGTGTGGGAGCAAAATATACATTTGCTCCCTCGGACTAAACTCTAGCTAAAAATATTTCGAGGATCCAAGGGGAAGTGACCTGCTCAACTTAGCAGCCAATATTAGATAATAGAAAACATTGAAGTTGCTCAATGATGGGAAAAACCCTTATCTGAATCAGGAACTGTTGAGATCGACCGGAATCCTATTAGAGCCATGAGCGGGTCCAATTTTGATTGAGTTGCTCAATTATGTTAGAGAACTGGGTCAGTTTGTCAGGGAACTGACATATCCAGATCCGATGAATCACCTAGTTACCGTCCATTTTATTTTTTCAAATATTAAAATATTATTTAATTATTTTTGGACCCATTCCCACATCGAAAAAACAGTGATTTGGCCCGATTGGCAATCTGGATTGGTCTAGCTAGTGACTAATCCTACCCCCTTAAAAGGTAAGAAGACTAGGGGCGGGAAATGGGTCCCTGTGGACCCGATAGGTTGACCCAACCGGGTCCAGGTGATGTCTTTGATGGGTCTGGATCCAACTCGGATCCTATTGTGTCAGGCCATGATCAACCGGACTCTGTATGTAACATGAATAATATTAACGATACATTATAAATATCTGGTATACTTTTTATATATTTCATTTAAAATCCTGGATCGGGCCCAACCTGGTCTAGGTTTAATTAACTTGTATCCGACTGGATCCGTGTTGGGCACCGCCCGACCCTATGCATTCCCGGGCCTAAAGAAAAGCAAGGGTTGGGATTGTCTCGTTCAAATGGCATTAGAATTAAGATACAAAAGCACACAAAAAAGGAACGAAATTAAGAGTGGGATTCGGATCTAAGGAAGAAAAGGAAAGAGGGAAAGTCAAAGGCTGGGAATTTGTGCCATTAGCATTAGGAACCCTGAGAAAAGGAAAGAATCAAAGTTAGGATCAGAATCCAACAAAAATGGAAAGAAAAATATCAAGCAGAAAATATATTTATAAAAAAATAAAGTTGAAGGTCGAGATGGTCTTTTGCCTCAATCCAAGGTAGTATAGATTAAATGAAGGGAAATTATAAAAAGTATCACTTTTTTTTTTTTTATAGGTTATTTGAAATAAATCTCAAAATTTTTAAAATCTCACCCATACTCTTTTTGACCACTTTTCACATGTTTTTACCAAAATATGCTGCACGAAAGTGTTAGGTCTTTGAAGGCATCATGATCGTGAATGGTTAAACATTGTTGGTGTGCAGCTTAAGCAGTGGTTAAAAACTCGCCTATCAACTAGAGCGATTTGGATTTAGAAATATATCGGGATCCATAAGAACCAGGTTTTTCTCAATTAATTTATAATAAAGATCGTACTGGTAGGCCCCAACTTCATCGTTCCGAAAGAACCGGGTTTTTTTCAATTAATTTATAATAAAAGTCAGATCAGTAAGAACCGGGTTTTTCCCAATTAATTTATAATAAAAATCATATTGTAGGCCCCAAATTCATCGTACAACATCATTGGGCCCTCCCTCTGCGCACAGGTGGGCTGTGCAGCAATTGGTATCAGCCTCCCAACAGAGTCAAACAAACGAAACCAATTAATCATGAGGCAAAGGTCCTGGATTTTACATTACACTAAATGTCGACAATTCCTGCTCCTGCAATCTTCTCAACTTACAAAGATGCTTTCTCAAAACTCTTCAAGAGTTAACCTCCAAATACCAACTGTACCATTAGACATGCTCTTATTAGGGCTGACGTGGTATGGGGTTAGAGAGAGAGAGAGAGGAGAGACAAACGAGGTGGGTGAAGGCTAGGGTACATTGTGGCTCTTTTTTATGCTCCGTAAGGACAAAATGGTTTTCTTTCTCTAGTTTGTTTTTGTTCTCCATGTTACTTTTAATTATTATTATTATTATTTTTTTAACAACAATAAAGAGAGTAGGGCGACTTAAGGGAATGAACATGCCTTTTTTTTTTTTTGAATTTTAATATCTTTATTTTTCAATTTTCATGGTAAAATTTTTTTTTTTGAATTTTTTTTAGTGTCATAATATTAAAATTTATAGAGGATTTTATTGTTTAATAATATTATAAAAAATGAATTAATGAACATGTCAATTAATTTATAAATCTTAGCATATCATTTTTCCAAATTAGGTAAATAGTGACTCAAAATTATAGTTCAACATTGCATCCGAGCATGTTTAGGAGGAAGGAAGGAAACCTACGACTTTCAAATTATAGCCCTCATGTCCATCTCCAAAATCATAACTACTTAAATTCTTAGTGATTGGTAGAAATGGGTTGTCCATAAAACAAGTTAAAAAAATTTATTTTTAGAACTTGAAATCCATTTTCCCTTCATCACTAAAATTACATTTCTGGTTAAATGCGGCTTATTCTTTTCTAAAATATTTAAAATTCCCTTTTTAAATTTATTGCAAATTCTCCTTCATTCTCTCTCCCTCTTTTTGATTAATCTTTCTCTATAAAATCCATCATGTCCTGGTTACCTCAACTCTTTTCGACCCAAGTAACTTCTATGATTTCTAAAGCATTGTATATTTTGCTTAAATCATTGAAAACAATCACACTTCTTTTACATTCTCTTGTATATGTTTAAAAATGCGTTCGGGCTTTACCCATAGTACCCCCAAACCTCACCGTAAAGTATCGAACTCAATTCTCATCCAAAAGTAAGTGCCCAAATCCACACTCACCTTTTTTCTGTGTGTGTATTTGCCATGGCAGAGATGAAAATGGGCTGGTCTCGACCCATTGAAGGCGAGGGAAAGAATGTTGCAGTGGTAGGAGAAAGAAAAGGGAGTGTTCAAGATATCCATGGGAGCTGTGCACTGAAGTTTGGCACGTAATTATGTGGTGTTATCTCTGCGACACCAGCGGTCAATGCTTCGTTAGGCTTGATGATTGCAATTGGAGCCGCCATGGCAAACCCCACTAATTTACTTTTTCTTATTTCTTTGTTTGGGCCTAATGCATAAATAAGTATGAGAGATTACAGTCCTCATTTGCTTCTCCGATATTAAGATGTAATGACATGGTTTCTTTATTATTATATCATTCTCTCTCTCCTCCTCCCCTCAAACCGAAAAAACAAAAAGGAAAAAAATTCCATACGGGCTGTACCGCATTTCTACAATATGAGGTCTAGATGTATAAAGCATCCATCTTAAAGATAAATGCAAATAGGTGATCCAATTTTAAAACAAGGGTAACTAACTAACGCTCCAAATGTTTTTTTAATATAATTATTATTTCAAATTTTCTATTTTTTTTTTAGATTCATGATCTTCATGTTAAAGATTATATATTTTCTAAATTTTAGGATCAAATTGTATTTAAAAATATATTTATTGCCAAGCCCACATTTCTACAATATGCGAGCTGGCCACTTAAAAACTGTCAAAAAAAAAAACGAAAAATGCAAATCCACAAAGATGTTTATATGCTAACTGGTTTGTTCACTCACTCCAACCGATCCCAATTAATTGAAAACAAGGTGATGATGATGGTTTGTTCATGTTCACTCTCTTAGGTAAAACTTTATGTAAGAGTATATCTAGGCCCACAAATTTGATGGATGTAACTTTGTCAATCAAGCAACCAATTTAAAAAAATAAAATAAAAAAGTGTCATGTGCACTCTCCATATGGATGAATAAATCATGTGTTAAGATGGAACATAGACTACTCATGTTTTGGAACGGTCAAATCTAAAAAATCTAAGTAGTAGTACTTAGGAATCGCTATTCACATAAGAACGAAGTATCGGTAATGTTGTTATGGGATTGTGAGATTATTTACCTTTGATATAAAGAGGTCACAATTATTTATAGCCATTTCAAATCTAAAAGTATTGTTTAATTATTTTTGGACCAATTCCCACCCCGAAAAAACGGTTTGATTTGGTCCGATTGGCGATCTGCATTGGCCTAGCTAGTGATGACTAATTCTACCACCTTATTCGGGTTTTAAAACACTTGAAAAAGGTAAAAAAGACTAGGGGTGGAAAATGGGTTCCTATGGACCCGACAGGTCGACCCAACGGAGGTTAGGTTTGGACCCAAACGATGTCCTCGATGGGTCCTAGTCCAACTTGGATCCTATTGTGTCAAGTCAGGATAAACATAACTAGGTATATATTAGTATAAAAGACACGAATAATATTAACGATACATTATAAATATCTAAAATATTTTATAATTTTTTATTTATAATCCTAGATCGGACCCAAACCTGGTCCAGGTCTAATTAACTTGTATCCGATTAGGTCGACGTTGACGTACTACTTCCTTGCCCTCACCCTGCACCCAGTAGAGTTGCACTTCTAGCCAGGCCATCTGCTTCCGGATTACATTCTCTAAATACATGTCAACTGACTACTTCCTTGCCCTCCAACTCCGCTTGAATCTCATCCATAGTTACCTACCGGGAGTGATTCAAGGAGTCGGGCGTGGGCTTGGGTCAAGGCGATAGCTGGGTTTTTATATCACTATGTCTCAAGTTTCATTCTTATGTAACCTTATCAAAAAAATAAAAAATAAAAACTAAAGAGATGTGTAAGGAGATTTACACGACATTTACTAAATCACCCTCGATTATTACTCTCATAACTGGGTTGTAACCTTAAGACCCCATATTTGAGGGCCGACAGTTGGGCCTCATTGGATGTGCAGTGCTTTGGAATAATGTTTCTTAAATGATCCCTTAATAGACCACCAAAACATGCTACGAAGTCCCTCTAACACTCCCATGAAAATTACGTTTGTGGCGGTGTCAATCTATGAGGCATGTTAGTGTCTAATGCTCACGAAATGGGCAAGACGATGCAACTCAATGCCCCTATTAGAAATTCCTCCAAAACAATCCATAGATTGAAGCCAAGAACACAAAGAATTCATTCATTATTGAGGTTTTCATCATCAACATTATCATAATAACATTTTTCTTA